CTCTTTGTACGCAAAGTTAATAACGTGTATTTATGTATTTGCCACGTTTAATTGCCTGTGCGGCTATTACATTCGCTCTGAAATGCTCGCTCCCGCCTTGAATACACCGCAGAGGGTAGTATTAAGTACTTGCTCGAGTGTTCAGCGAGTCTGGCAATGACACGAGATCTTCGTGTACTGTACAGACCGGTTGCTGTTCTACCATTCCTCTTAAACTTGTTAAATATCGATACTTTAAAATCTTCATGCAATTTTCCTTCTTTTGTGATCAGCAACTTCCCTTTTTTAATGAATGACGAATATCCTATTCGTAACTATGGGTTTGAATTAGGTCTATCAATTAGCTTCTACCTTAATATTGCCATTAAACTTGTCAAGTAACAGTGCTTTAAGGCCTCCTTGCAATTTCTTTTTCATAATCAGGACATTTATTTCTTGTTCGGACCAGATGTGGTTGCAGTTACTGTTGACTTGTTTTGGTAATTTGAATTTTTGAAAAATTCTAGTCTAAAACGGCCAGTTCTTCTACTATTCCTATTAAAGTTATTAAATATTGATAATTCTATTTGTTCTTTTTTTAATTAAAAATTTAATTTTGCAAAGCATTAACATTTTTTGCTAGTGATGACCACCTTTTTTATTGCAAATAACGAGTTCATTTTTTGGATTTATATATGTATGTGCATGTTATTCAGTATACTGTAAATATACTATATAAATAGTATTACCATGAAATTGTTATTGGAAATTACAATGTAATATTCTGCTGTTGCCTCAATAAATATTCAAATCGTTAGCTCTCGGTAGACTATAGTATTATATTGAAGAATTATTGTTTCAGTGGATGGATAAATTAATATCCACCAATATCTATTTGATTTGCTTAGAATGCGTAAATATAAATGTTATCGTTGAAGAATTATTGCTATAAATTAATTTACCTCTAACTTAATTGCAATATTGTTATTAAACCTTAATCGAAATATATCCTTTTTTATTTATCTAGGTGCAATTCATCTGTAAAAAAAATCAAATATAAGCGCCATTTTGAATTACGATTTCAAAACAAAAAGAAGTATTTGGCAAAATACAAATAAAATATAAAACAGCATTTCGCTAATGTATTTTCAATATTTCAAAAAATATATTTCCTTCGTGTTTTTAAGTTGTATATAGATTGAACACTATAAATTAATTTATAGGTTGCGACAAACTAACTGAAAGACTTGGCGCGTAAATCACGGTAGCCATATTTAATATCTTTTTACAAAATTAAATTCCTCTTATAGTCTACATTAAACACATCTTATTATGTTCATCTTCCATATTTCATTTATTTTTCGTAATTTATCACTAATATTGATAATACACCAGTATCATGGTATATGTTTGTCATTATATTGAATATAAGATTTAGATAACAACTTACTTTAAATTCTTTCTTCATTAAAAGAATTTTCATCAAAAGAATTCTACTGTAAACGAATTTGAAACACGACATACAATTCTAACTTTTGATTTAATACATCACTGTTGCTTCAGCATCATTCTATATTCTATCAGATTTTATCCACTATTTTCACTCGATTTTTACCATGTGTTCCATCACGAACAAGTTGTAGAGAGGCTATCAAAATTAACAGTACAGTAAGCGCTATCTAGTGACAAATTTGGGAAACAAAATTGTTGCAAGCGCTTTCAATATGGCGCTCCCCTTGGCACAGTATTAATTATCTTTGGTATTATGAATTTGGTATGAATGAATGTTTGTTAATTCATTAGGTAATAGCTGGTATTTGACTAGTCATCATGTTCCTAAAAATAAAAAATAAATGAAGAGTATTCTTTTATTGCTTCATACAAATTGAGACATGACAAGTATATCATAAAAAATAACTCGAATGCTAGTATATTTTATGGAATTAAATAACGAATAAAATAATATTTTATGAAAATGTCTATACTGAGGACTGTGTTATTTAAACATATTAATTATTCAAAATGTTCAAGGTATCATTCATGTTTTGTAATAAATTTTTCATATAATAAATTGTACTAATCTTAAATTTGTATTCAATCATTATAAATATTTTTGTTACAGGAGTTCCTTGTTATTATTTCTATCGAAACAAAAGGACAAACCTTTTAATCTAGCAAAACGAAAATTTAATAGTAGTATCAAAGAGCCTGTAAAAAATGACAGTAGTGAATTAAAAAATTTCTCAACAGTTTTAAAATTTGGTTCAGGCGGTTTAGGTAGTATTGTATTAACATGCATGATAAAGTGTCATACTTCTGCTGTTGAAGGCAAAACGCTTAAAATTTCGGAAAATATTACAAAAGATAATAAAGAATTGACTTTGAAATGGAGAAAGTTTTTAGAATATTTGTATCCATATTTTTGGCAATTATTGATAGCTTTGTCAGTAAGTATTTGTGTACAATACATATGCATATATGGATTTTATATTTCTGTATACTTATGTAATTGTTAACTTTAACTTTTAGAGTGCAATGGTTGTTGCTGTATTAAATATTTGGATACCACAACACGTTGGAAATGTTATAAATATATTAACAAAGATCTGTCAAACCAAAGGAGAAGATAGCTTGAAAACTGTGCTATTACAATTGACAGAACCTGCATTTGCATTAGCACGTATGTATGTTGCACAAGTATGTAAATGTTTATCAGGAAAAAAGTATATTTTTTATACTATTTATAAAATAATTTAAATTGAAAAATTATAGGAAATCCCTTACTTTTAGGCACTTTTTACCTTTGTATATATTTATATGCTTTCACACGTGGGAGAAAGAATAGCTATGAATTTAAAGAAAGATGTATTTAAATCAATTATAATGCAAGACATCACGTTCTTTGATAAGAATCGTAGTGGTGAAATAGTAAGTCGATTAACCAGTGATATTCAAGACTTTAAAAGTACCTTTAAAATATGTATATCACAAGGCTTGAGAAGCACCACGCAAATTATTGGGTGTATAGTTTCTGTGATAGGAATTTCACCACAATTGACTGCAGCTACAGTGTTATCTTTGCCTACCATAATTCTTATCGGTACATTGCTTGGAAGAGGTTTAAGAAAATTATCTATAGAGGCACAGAATCAACTTGCTAAATCTGCAGATGTTTGTGAGGAAGCCATACAAAATATTAGAACGGTAATATCATGTATGATAATGATAAATTGTTTTAAATAATTTATAGCATATTATTTTTATAGGTGAAAGCATTTTCAGCCGAAGAAAAAGAGATAGAAATGTTCTGCAAAGAAACTACATTAGGAGCTACATTATATGAAAAATTAGGTTTGGGAATTGCTTTGTTCCAAGGGGGGACAAATCTATTTCTCAATGGTATCTTACTTTGTACTTTATATTTTGGTGGACATTTAATGTCTACTGGGCAGTTATCTCCAGGAGATTTAATGGCGTTTTTAATGGCCACACAAACTATACAAAAATCTTTATCTCAATTATCATTGTTATTTGGATCGTATGTTAGAGGTGTTAGTGCTGGTGCTAGAGTTTTTGAGGTATATATACAATTTTGTTTTATATCAATACAATGAAAAGTATTTTTTATTTTATTGTAATCCAATCCCTTATTATAGTATCTAGAAATGCCACCATCACATCAGATGATTACTGGAGAAGTTATTACAGACCAATCCCTGGCAGGAAATATCACGTTTAAAGACGTAGAATTTAGCTATCCTACTCGTCAAGATCACGTTATTTTAAAGAATTTTAACTTAGACATTCCTGCTGGGAAAACAGTAGCTATCGTTGGTTCTAGCGGTAATGGAAAATCAACGATAGCTGCTTTGTTAGAAAGGTACTTTGATTATTTTAGATTCAAAAATTTTTTTCATATAGAATTTGATCATCAATTAGTCTACCAAATAATATAAAATAATATAAAATATTTCAGATTTTATGACGTTAATAATGGCTCAATTACAATTGATGGTAAAGACTTAAGATCGCTCAATGCTAGTTACCTCCGAGGTAACATTTTAGGGTATATAAATCAAGAACCTATTTTATTTGCCATTAGTATTATGGAAAATATACGATACGGAAAGCCGGATGCTACAGATGAAGATGTAAATACTGTTAAAATTAGAGGTTTATTAAAGTTATACTTCTACAGAAAAATTATTATTAAATATTCTTAGGTCATTGAAGCTGCTAAAGAAGCAAATGCTCATGAATTTATTATGAATTTTCCGAATAAGTACGATACGCAAGTAGGAGAAAGGGGAGCGCAACTTTCCGGTGGACAAAAGCAACGTATTGCAATCGCAAGGGCTTTATTAAAAAGACCTTCCATTTTAATTTTAGACGAAGCTACAAGGTAAGAATCATAAACAACAGTTATTGTAATAACTCTATATATTTGAACTGATTGTTTTAATTTTATACAATAACCTTTAGTGCGTTAGATTATGAAAGTGAACGAATTGTACAGAAAGCGCTAGACAATGTTACTCAAGGAAGAACAGTCGTAGTAATCGCTCACAGATTAAGCACGATTAAAAATGCTGACATTATTGTTGTATTGCAGCGAGGAGTAATCACGGAAGTACGCATTCCAATACAAAATTTCAGACATGACATTAAATTAAATTAATATATTTATTTTTACATCTTATTTTCAGATGGGTACACATACAGAATTAATTAAAAAGAAAGGCTTATATTACACTTTAGTAAACGAACAAGATAAAGCTAATGCATAATATTAGTGAAACTCTAAATCATAATACAATTTCTGAAATATTTATTTTGGAATAATAGGAATAATATTTGAGGACGTTGTATGAACTACCTCCGATTCTAATATATACATACACGTTTAAATATATATAATTTATATTTTCAAATATTTATAATTTTTTATCTTCATCTTTATACCTGCCATATTATTTATATTTTATATTATTATATTTATATTTTTAATTTAATATATCAATGCAATTTTTTAAATAAAAATCCACTAATATATTTTATGTCATCCTTGGTGATGTAACATATTTAAAATTTTTGTCAAGCATTGCTTAATCTTATCAACGATATAGTATATCGCTGACGGCATGTGTATATAATTCGGTGTAGTTGCTGATTCTTTTTGTGCAACATTATTACACGCGTCCTCCTTATCTATAATCTGAGAATGTTTATGAAATGGTTTCGAATGTTTTCTCATTGCTCTAGAATCAGGCTTTTCGGTTATTACATTTGAAAATGTTTCTTCAGTATTAATTTTAGGTGTTTCACTATCATTTTGTAATACAGATTCTCCATTTGTGCTGATCAAGCTTGTTGGATCAGTGGTTATCATTCTATTTAAATCGTAATTTGATGATTCACCGTTTCCATATTCAATGGGTATTTGTTCATCACTTCCTTTATTATTATGTTCTGGATCTTCTTTTGTAGCTGTAATTATATCATTTAGGATAGGTGTAGTAGATGGATCATGTAAAATGGATTCTTCTGACCTACTTGTTTCTAACAATGGTTTATCTGCCTCTGTTCCTGTATTTATTTCTTTAGGTACCGTCATATCAGATATTAGAGCATCAGGTAAGATAGCTGAAGTAGTACCAATAGCTTCAGTTCCAATAGTTGGCTCTTCAGTAAATTCTCCTGTTACAGTACGTTCAGGATCCTCAGAATCTTCTATTTCCGAGAATGATTCAGTTGAAATTATATACGTAATTGGTTGTTCTTGTGGTTTCGTAGTATCAGGGGTTATCGAATTGGTTAATATATTATTATATTCTTTTTCTAAACTAGGATTTTCAGTAGCAGAAGTTCCAACGGGTGATTTGTCTAAAATTACTTCTGTTACTTCATCCGGTTCTATATCAATAAGGGTTGTTGAATCAGTTACAACTGTTGATTCAGTGTTAATATTTTCAATTTCAGGAATCGGCAATTCAGGATTTTCAGTAGTAGGACTTACAACCGGTGATTCGTTTAAAACTACTTCTTTTGTTGGTTCCTCTTCCGGATCTGTATTGATAAGGGTTGTTGGATCAGTTAACATTGTTGGTTCAGTCTTAATATTTTCAATTTCAGGAATCGGTAATTCAGGATTTTCAGTGGATGGAATCCCAACCGGTGATTCGTTTAGAACTACTTCTTTTGCTGGTTCCTCTTCCGGTTCTGTATTGATAAGGGTAGTTGGATCAGTTAACATTGTTGGTTCAGTGTTAATATTTTCAATTTCAGGAATCGGCAATTCAGGATTTTCAGTAGTAGGACTTACAACCGGTGATTCGTTTAAAACTACTTCTTTTGTTGGTTCCTCTTCCGGATCTGTATTGATAAGGGTTGTTGGATCAGTTAACATTGTTGGTTCAGTCTTAATATTTTCAATTTCAGGAATCGGTAATTCAGGATTTTCAGTGGATGGAATCCCAACCGGTGATTCGTTTAGAACTACTTCTTTTGCTGGTTCCCCTTCCGGTTCTGTATTGATAAGGGTTGTTGGATCAGTTAATATTGTTGGTTCAGTGTTAGTATTTTCAATTTCAGTAATTGGCAATTCAGAATTTTCAGTAGTAGGAATTACAACCGGTGATTCTTTTAAAACTACTTCTTTTGTTGGTTCCCCTTCCGGTTCTGTATTGATAAGGGTTGTTGGATCAGTTAATATTGTTGGTTCAGTGTTAGTATTTTCAATTTCAGTAATTGGCAATTCAGAATTTTCAGTAGTAGGAATTACAACCGGTGATTCTTTTAAGTCCCAACCGGTGATTCGTCTGAAATTACTTTTGTTGCCGGTTCCTCTTGCGGTTCTGTATTGATAAGGGTTGTTGGTTCAGTGTTAATATTTTCCAATTCAGGAATCGGCAATTCAGAATTTTCAGTACTAGGGATTACAACCGGTGATTCGTTTAGAACTACTTCTTCTGCAGGATCCCCTTCCGGTTCTGTATTGATAAGGGTTGTTGGTTCAGTGTTAATATTTTCAATTTCAGGTAATTCAGGATTTTCAGTAGTAGGAATTACAATCGGTGATTCGTCTGTAATTACTTTTGTTGCCGGTTCCTCCTGCGGTTCTGTATTGATAATGGTTATTGGTTCAGTGTTAATATTATCAATTTCAGGAATCGGTAATTCAGGATTTTCAGTGGTTGGAATATTAACCGGTGATTCGTTTAGAACTACTTCTTTTGCTGGTTCCCCTTCCGGTTCTGTATTTATAGGGGTGGATGGATCAGGTAGAATTGTTGGTTCAGTATTAACATTTTCAATTTCAGTAATCGGCAATTCAGAATTTTCAGTAGTAGGAATTACAACGGGTGATTCGTCTGAAATTACTTTTGTTGCCGGTTCCTCTTG